AATAATATGCATGTACAGGTATGAAATAGTAATAATTTGAAAACGCTATATTTCTACGGGCTTTTCGTCTGTTTTCTCTTAAGGAATGACTCTAATTCTTGGCCAGATTATCGAGTATAATATGGTTTGGGTCAGTTTACGCTTTATAATCCGCGAAGCGGATTATAAAAAAGCGTAAACTGACCCAAACCAAATTATACTCGATAATCTGGCCAAGAATTAGAGTCATTCCTTATAATTTAATTTTAAAATAATTAAACAACTGGGGATGTAAAATTGTGTTGTTTTTATTAGTTCAAATTTACCGCGCAATAATACAACCGTAGTAACGGAAGTGATGGGAAGCAAGGGGAGGTAAAAACTGATACATAGATCTAGCAGCCATGATGTTTGTTTACATGAGGTAAGATCGAGCAACTGTTTGAAGTTAAAGGTACATTCATTAAATCTGGAATTTTTCATGAATCCGAAGGACTGGAAATGAGGGGATTGATGGATACAGATGATTCAGCTGGTTGTCAAGGGGGTGTGTCCCCATACCAAACCAGATTATACAAAATGTTATGCGTTCCTTTTCGGAAATCAACCAATGAGAGACAAGAATACAAACAGAATTAAATTATTTATGGATATGCATAATTGAACTCTTGCCCATTTCTTAGCCCTGTCTTTTTTTTTAGTTTCTGTTATTCACATATACATAGAGAAGCCGTTTTATTCATTTTAAATACTAAGGAAGTGAAAAAGTTTCCTAGTCTACCAAACATTTATGACTGGTACATTTCTGTAAGAATGAATTCAGGATCAAAACACTTGATCATAGTCCAGTGCGCCGCCTGGGCCAACGCAGCCGCCATTTTTCTAAAATTTGAAACTTCAACCCCATGTATATAAAACGTTATAAAATTCATATTTATCAAAGCATAAACACCAAAATTTGAGGAAATATAGTTAATAAAACAGTTATGAGAATTTTCATTTCCATTAAAAAAATATGGGGTAGTAAATACTTTTCTGTAGGATTTTAAATATAATATGCCAAATTTTCATTGCAACTTTTGGGTATTGCGCCTCCTTCCTACACCAGACAATGAAATGTGTCTTTTAAATTGGAATAATTTGTGTAGTTACTCCATATTTGTCCATAAATTTATTAGATAGTGTTTATTTAATCTATATACGAAGTTTCATTAATGTATGACGTAGGGTTCCTATAAAACAACGGTTGTCTACGGAATTTTGGGACAACCCTCGTAAGTCCTAGATTCGTTTTTTTTTTTTTTTTTTATAATATGATTTGAATAGTGAACATTGTTATCCATTCTGAAGAAAAATCCTTAACAATTAGGAAAATACAAACGGACAAACATCACACCCCCAGCCACCCCCTGTGGTACAACCATGCTGACAAGAGAACCTGTCCTATAATTTTCACAGTATAAAGTGCTTTTTAATGTGATAGATCTTATTATTTCCTTTACAATATATGTACTCCATCACTGATTTTCAATTATCTTAAATGATTTATACCTTATTTTTATCATTGTACTTATTAAATAAAACTACAAACCTGATTTCAGTAACATTAACGTTAAAGCGTTTATAAGACTGTATGAATTGAGAATGTATCAATATATTTAACAAATCATCAAAATTCCTATTATTGATTGGTTATACATGTATATTGTTTTACGCTCCTTTTGAGAATTGTTTGAGTGAGTGGAATGATATTTTGATCATATCTTACTTGATGATATAGTTTTCTGTTCATTAATTTAAAAATTTCTAAATTTGCATTCATTGAAGGCTTATTCACCCATATTTATAATTTTCATTTTTTAAAAAAAAAAAAAAAGGAAAACTGAACTATTGCTCTTATTTTTAGGTTCTTCGAAGAAAAAACTCACCAGATATTAGAATGAGTAGGAGAACTGCTAAATTTTCATCCATTGTTTCAAACTCATCTACCAGAAAATCGAAAACTTACGAGTCAAGGATGACAAAGTTGGTTGACTCTTCAGCGAAGTGGTATTTCCCTGAAAACAGCAGAAAATCTAGGTACATTGAAAGCAAGTATACTTAATCAAAAATAAATTCCTTATGGATAATATTTATCAAGCAGTCTCACAGTCATGATGTTGAAGATATAAATGTATTTGTTCCTTGAAAATCTTAACTTAAGTTATTTTTAAAAAGCAATAAAGTTTTTAAAAGGGGTTGCAATAAAACGAATTTAAATTTAGTTATGAATAGAACAGATCAAAGGTCTGTTATAAACAGTTGAAATTTCTACCAATGATGTAATTTTTCCTTTCCTTTTCATAGTCAAGATAGTATCACAGTGTAGATAATATGTATATACAAACACCACGGTGACCTTAAACTGACGGTAATTTAGTATTTAAGTAGTCACTATTCACTTCCTTTTTCGTTTCAATTTTGCTTAGGTTAGCAGGAAAGCCAAAAAAAACAAAAAAAAACAAAGATCGCTTCTTATTCGTGTTTAACTTAATTTCCTAGTGATATGCATCAAGTTTAAGAATATTGTGCTTTTTTGTTGCGCTTTTTGATATAGTAGCATAAAAATTTCAAAATTTCCAATAAAATCCTTATGCACTTATAGCACTTGTCCATGATTGCTACTAAAAACGAATAACATTTAGGTGAGTTGGTGAAGAAATACTAGAAGAGTAATTCACTTGAATTTAAGTCAATGAATTTTGATAATAAGCAGTCGAAAAAATAAAATGAATTTATTTAAATAATTCTTGGTAGTTTATTTTATTGACTTTTAAGTAATTTATATTTTAGTTAATTTGGAGGCATTATTCTAATAGTGAAGCAAAATATCTTACCTTCTGTCAAAGATACAAGTTTATTACTAGTTCAGCTTTTCAAACGCAGTATTTGTGCAGAAATGAAGCGTAGAACAGTGATTTGGATAGTGGATTAACCCGGAAATATCTGAGTTATAATTTTTTCCAACTACCGACATGTTGCACAACAACACTTCATGGTTGACGGCGTGAAAGTAAAATAGTGATTTTTTATCAACATTAAAGCTGAGTCAGTGTACGAAAAAGTTATGTCATATATATATTATATGTAGTAGCAGAGATTCTAGGAACCTTTTTCTTTTTTGCATTCGATATTGATTTAAATATTAAAAATAGAGAAAGTACATAAAAAAATTCACTTCGCTTTTTCTTGGGCTCATGTAAGCTTTTCTGATCACATTTTGTCCAGCATTCTTCTGTAAACTTTTTCGACCACTCCGGATTCCATGAGCCAATTCAACCACGTGCACACTTTGTTTCAAGAACCACTGTAGTAGTATAAGCATCCTAGATAGGCGGGTCAACTGAGTGCACTTTTGGGGTTGGGGGGATAGGCGGGTCAACTGAGTGCAGGTTTGGAGGGGGATAGGTGGGTCAAGGGAGTGCAGCCCCTGGGGGGATAGGGGGTTCAACGGAGTGCAGCCCCTGTGGGGGATAGCTGGGTCAATTCAGTACATATGTTGCATCATCTTTTTTATATATCTATTGCATCATCTTTTTGATACCTGTTGCATCATCTTTTTAGATCTATTGCATCATCTTTTTGATACCTGTTGCATCATCTTTTTTTTTTATACCTGTTGCATCATCTTGCAAAAATAGGTTGGACTTATCTTTCTGTAAACTATCTAGTCAGCGAGCTTACCTATGCATTGTGACGTCATAAACTTGGCAGCGACGTCATGTTAGTCCTTCACAAGCCGCGATGGCTGCTTATTTTGACACAATAACACAGACTTTCACAGCGCTTGAGACTTCATGTAATAACAGTATGGTCCTATGGATTTCAGTACCAAAACTGATTTTCTACCGTTTTTCTTCCAAGAAAGTTCTGAACAGCTGAATCCTGGATCAGCCTAGATGATATTTCACTGGATTATTTAATGAATATTACTCTACTGAGTTACCTGGTTACATGGTAAGTTTTAACAAACTTTTCTTTATACATTTTCTATGAAGGTCATCTTTGTATTTATTCATTATTACTGTGTTATATACCTTATGTTTAGAACATTCATATAAACACTGCCATTGTTTACCCTGAAATACACTAGGACACTAAAAGATCCTCAAAATGTTGATAAATCTTTTTTGCATGAGTTATGATCATATTGTCTCACATTCCTTTTATTGGATCAGTATTCTAAATATTCTTATGAGGAGACTCCTAGCATTTCTTATAAAATATACTGATATATGCTTTTAAAACAACTAAAGTGATATTCTCAGTTGTCATTTCTAATATTTCTATGAATCTTTAATCACAGTGACCAAAAGAAGGATATGGAGATAATCAATCAGATCATAGTATGCCAATGAATCTTTTGTCTCAAATCTTTTTTAATGAAATATACAGAATCTTTTGCCTTATTTGTCCCTCATATTTTTACATTCTGGTGCAGCAGTGGCCCAATGAAAGTGGGAAAAACTCAGTCTGAGCACCTCTGTAACTCTATAAACATGTGTGCCCCCCTTTTTTTTTAAACCTTCATGTATATACATGTATGTATTTTATTTAGTCAGTGATTTCAAACATCAACATGTAAAATATATACAACTGTATTGAGTACTTTAAAAGTGAATATACATGATTTGTACACCCTGAATATTCTGACATACTAATGGTGACATCAGTTAAAAGAGTAATTAGTTATGTAAAATTCAGTTTATATGAATTTAAATGGGGTATTTATTCTCAGTTCATGTAAGGTATAATTTGCATGTAACCCAGAGTGTATTTAATATTACTATGATGGGTCATTCTGTGATTGAATTTAAATCAGAAAAAATGTTTACTAAATTTTGGTAAAATACATTTCTGTCCTGTTTGTCTGTCAATTGTTGCTTTACTTCCTTTGTAAAATGAGGTTAATTTGTGTATCACTGAATATTGTATGCTTTTTTTTCAGGATCAGCTGAGATGTTATTTCACTGGATTATTTAATTGGGCATATAATTGGATAATTCTGGTAAGTTTGTCTTTGTATTGTTTACATTTCCTATGAAGGTCATCTTTGCATTTAACCATGATTATAGGGTTTAATTTAATTACTGTGTAATTCTTATGTGATCTAATATCTCTAACATTCATATAAGCACAGTCTTATTTTGTCTAAAATATACTAAGGAAACTTCATATTGTTAATAAGTCCTTTTGCATAAATTATGATATAATGTCATAATTCATTATGTCTGTAACCCATGGAATTCAGACTTACTAAATTGTGATCTATAAGGAATGTAATAAAAGAAAAAGTAAGAATCTACAAAAGGTTTATCCTTGTTTTGATTCTAAATATGTGGTATATATGGCATACCTATATTTTCATTTTCACTTTTGTTTCTTGGTAATGAGCTTTTCAAAAAATGTAGGACTACATGTTGTATATGCTAATATCTTTTTGTATGCTGTACTGACAGGTATTAAACAAAATTGAATATGCTGTTAAGAGAAAGTCTGTTAGTGTCTAAAAATTACACTGATAATCATTTTGTATTTGTGATATTAATACTGTAACTGTGCTTCTTTTGTTATCTAAAGATAACATGATGAACTATTTTCATGAACTTTTTGGCACTGTATTTAAACATGCAATGTTTCATGCAGTTCCTTATATTAACAAAATGATTATATTTTCTACAGTCGTCAACCTGGAAGATATGTTTTATTCCCAACCATCTATAATCCATTCTCTATGAAGTTCAGCCTGTCTGCCCAAATTCCTTTGGAAATACATAGTTAGTCAACCAACATAGAAACAATCAAACTTGAAGATAAGATATCATTTTCATTTATTTAATTCTGTTTTATTTAAATGTTTATATTTTAAAATGGATTAAAAAAAAATGGATAAAAAACATCTGATAATGGAAATCAATATCATAAAGATAGTAAGTTTTTTAGTGTCTAAATAATTAATCTGATAATCATTTTATTTATGATATTAATACAGTAGTTGTGCTTGTTTATTATCTATAGATAACATGATGAACTTTTCTCATCTGGAGTTAATGTTAAAAACAATTTTTGAGATTAAAAACAAATATTTTCATGATCTTTTATGGCATTGTACATGTTGTATTTAAACATGCATTGTTTCATGCAGTACTCTGTCATATTAACAAAATGGTTTTATTTCTACAGTCCTCAACATGGAAGAATTGGTTTGTTCTTAACCATCTATAATCCATTCTCTATGAAGTGAAGCCTGGCTGCTGGTCTTCCTTTGGAAATACACAGTTAGTCAATCAACATAGAAACACACAAACTTGAAGGTAAAGTTTCAATGAGATACAATTGTAATTTTTATTTATTTATTTATTTATTTACATATGCATTTTTATATTTTTGAATTGATAAGTAAATGATATATGATTTTTTTTAAAATAAAGAGGGCTTGGTGGTCATGGTCATGTTTAAACTCTATTGATATCCTTTAGAAGAAGAAGAAAAGGCATAAAAATTCATGATCAAATTTTTAAAACTAAAATGTATGAAATTTTTCTTTGCCAAATGATAGTTAACAGCTGAAGATAACATATTTATAGAATAAGTTAAATATGGCTAATTTGTTAACCCCAGCTTCCTTAATAGCATAATTGGTAAAGACAGGAAGTTTTGACTTCAATTGCTGATGAATTCTGAATTTTCCATTTAATATTAACATTCTATCAAAGAGAAAGAATACTATAATGTGGCTCATTAGGATGACCAGAAAAGAAATCTTAATGAACCTCTTAACTATGTATAAAGATTGTAACCTTATAACTGATGTAAGATGATCTGATTGTGTGGAAATAAAATTTCCTGGTGTTTCTACTACCCAAGATCTTCTTATCAATGTATGGGACTGCTGTAGACCTTCTCCTGTTTATAAAAATAATACCTTGGAGCATGACACTTTATTCATAAAAGGTACTTTCAATATCATTTCTATGAGTTTGTGTTCTTTCTTTTTAATAATCTAGTGTTATATCTCCTTTAACCTCATTAATATGTATGCTTCCAACATCTTAGATCTGTCTGTATAGTTTCTTCAGCTCTTTGAACACAAATACCCTGATTCAATCTTTTGAGGTAAACATCATAGAGACATCATAGATGATTATCAGAGTGTATATATCACAATCTTGACCATAAGGTCAATTTAAATGGTCAAAGGCACAACAAATGAAAGTGAAAACTTTTCTTTTCTTTTTTTTCATCAGAATACATAATTTTGTAATAAACAAACACTGGAAAGTTACTCTCATAATGAGCCTTAATGTCTTCCACGAGTTCAGTTTGGACTTCCTCCATTAATCCTTGTATCTTGTAATCCTTGTATCTCCAATGGTTTTGTGGGCTAAAAATCATGTGTCTTTAACAATCTTTTTTTTCTGACAACTGTTTTCTCTTATCATCTATAAACTTGACTTCTTCTCTAGTCAAAGGTCTTTCAGGGTAATCCAAGTAATTCTCACCCTCTTTTGGTAATAAATGGTTAGATTCTTCATTGGCTTCTTCTGCAATCAAGGGTCTTTCTATGTAATCTCTGACAACATTAGGATCACCCTTCTCTGGACTTAATTGATTATATTCTTGTTGAGAAATGATCTCACTAGTGCCATCTTTTTTTATTTTAACTGGTATACCTCTGTCTACATCTTTCTCTGAAAGAATGCTCTCTCCAAACTGAATTTTACTCATTCCTTTACTCTTTTCTTTACTGGAGGTGTTACCCATGGTTAATATGGAAAGTCAAAATCTTATGTTACAACCTGTATTTATACCCTTTTTGTCTATATTTAGAATTCCATCAAGCTTATATTGCATTACAATTTTTCTTTTTCAACTAAGACATTATTTTTTTTATTTTTTCAGGATTCTCTTGTGAGGGCTTATGGAAATGATCTATATCTACTCAAGAAAGGACTCAGGATTGTATCTTTCACTGTCAGACACTGACTATGGATAAAGTGTAATCATTTATCAGACTGAGATCTAGTCAAATCAAGTATTGAAAATATGATTTTCTGAGAGCATGAGCTCTTTAAAAACTAATTCTCAATGACCTCAAAGTATCTGAAAGTGACTTTTATTTTTACCAATTCATATTGAAGACTGTTGTTATGTATGGGAATTACACATTTAAACCTTTTATTTTTCATCTAATTTTTACAACCCCCTAGAAATTATCACAGATATCCAGATGCTGGATTTAATGTTATTATTTAACTTTCCTGGAATTGTAAATATATTTTGTTTGTGTATGTATCATGTTTAATTTTGAATTTAAATTGGGTCTCAATAAGACCCCCAATAAAGATGCAAGTGTCCCATAATCTTTGTTTTAATAATATCTTGAATATCTTTATCATACCATATTCATCATACTAATTACATATAGAATGATTGTAGGAATGCACTTTGTTGTTAAGGACACTTTGTCAAGGTCAAAGCATAAGATTATTGAGATGACTTCTTTGACAATAATTTGTAACTTACAAACTTCACATCATAAGTACACACTCAGATGAAGAATCAATAAGATATTTCTATAGATTTTTTTTGGATCATTTACTCCTGGGTAAAAGTTAGTAACTGAGATTACTGATTTGAGTCCTGTAATGCAATAACTTTAACATTGTGTGATAACTTATAGACTTTATAAAAATTAGGTGCAAATTCTTAGGATAGGAATGAAATGTTAATCAAATGTACAATGTTCAAAGGTGTTTATATGACTATTACTATGTAATACCTTGGTTTTCTGTAAAAATCCTATATTCACTACATAGATAAAGACCGGTATAATATATATTTTAAACTATGATGAAGGAAATAAAAAGGTCAAAAGCTCTCCCCTTCATATCTGTCATATTCTGTCATACACAACAATGGATAAATTGCAGTCATTTAACAAAATGAGGTCTAATCAAATCCTAGAATTGATATTGTTATTTTCTGATAATATGAGATCTTTAAAAAAAAAATTCCCAGACTTCAAAGTATCTTAATGTGACATTTATTTTTACCAATTCATATTGAAGACAGTTGTTATGTATGAGAAGTATACATTTAAACCTTTTATTTTTCATCTTATTTCTACAACCCCTAACAAATTACACAGATGTGTAAAAGCTAGCTTTGGTGTAATTATTACTTTCCTGGAACTGCAAATACATTTTGTTTGTGTATGTGTGTGTGTGTCCTATTTTGAATTTAATAGGTCTCAATAGGACCCCCATAAAGATGTTAAGTGTCCCCTGATCTGTGATGTAATAATATCTTGAATATTTCTATCAACCATTAGACTTCATGCTTACTACACAGAACAGGTTAGAGTAATACACTTAGTTTTATAGGACACTTTGTCAGGGTCAAAGCATGGGATTATTGAGATAACTACCTTTGACAATAATTTGTAACCTGCAAACTTCACATCATAAGTAAAGAATGAATCGGAGATTTTCTATAGATCTTTTGTCCTGGGTAAAATTAAGTTGTTGTAACTTTAACATTTTGTGATAACCTAGAGACTTTATATCAGCTCTATTGGGTGGCATAGCATATTCTTTGGAAAGAATTGAAATGTATATCATATGCACTATGTTCAAGTATGTTTAAAAGATTATTACTATGTAATACCTTAGAATTCTGTAAAAATTTCATTATCACTGCATAGATAAAGACTGGTTGGAATAATTTATGTTTTGAAATAAGGTTTAGGGAAAAAAGTTATGAATGTGGATATGACTTTTATTCAAATGGTGCAGTACAGCAACTCTGGTGATTTACATACCTTCAGTCATAAATAGATAGGTAATGGGAAGACTCTTCTAGATTTTTAAATCTTTAATTCAAAAGTATAGAATTTGTTTTTAAGTTTGAAAGATTAAATGGCAGCATATCATTTGCTTGTGAATTAAAAAATAAATCCAAACATATACATCTTTGGATGATAATTGTAGAATTTATCAATTCCTGGACTTCGGTCTTGATATCATCCTTTAATGTCCTTAATATTTTAATGATTGTCTTTTAGTTTTAGTTAAATTAGTTTCTTTTCTACATGTGAAAATGACATCATCCAAAGAAGTTTTTCATCTGCATGTTATATGAAGATAATTTTCATCACAGTGAAAGAGATTGTTTTGTTAAACATAAACATGCACAAATATATTTTTAAATTTCTAATAGCTAGGGTTCATATTTTTTAATTTGGAATGCTAAGTACTGTTGATTTCATTTTTTTTTTTCTGAAAAAAAAAACAACAACATAATAGTAGAAAAAATATACATGGTGTGTTAGAAAAGCATGTGTAAACCTGATGACTTTATAATTGCTGATTAAATCAATTATGAGTTTCATTTTGTTACAGTGTAAACATTCCTAAGTAGGGCACACATCAGAAACTCTTAAAATTCTGAGTATCAGGGTTTAACACAACAATTCCAAATACTTTTTGGACGCTTTTCATGTATCAGAAAGACAAAACAGAATGTTTGTTCACAGATGTTCCAAAGGAAAACAAGCTCAAAGAAATGATTTGTAATGTTCTTTATGTGATTCATGTAAAATGTATTTTAAAAGTTTACCCTAACATTTATCTTTTGCATTTATATTTTTGTAAAGAATTTTTCAAAACTTTGAAAAAGTAGTCTTATTGTATAATATGGGTAGCTTAAAATCTTGTAGACTTAAAAGTTGTACATGATGTGTTACACATCTTACATATGTAACCATTTCATTTCAGGGCATTCAGCATATATTGTAGTTTTGTCTTAAATTTGTTTGTTCATGTAATCAATAATTTGAGAATACTCAAGTTAGGTAATGCATGAGAGAATAGGCAAGAAAATCAAGTTTAAAAAATGTTTTTACTACAAAGGGGTTAATCTATATATGGAATCTATAAGTACATTTAGTCTATACATTTAAGGTATTGGTTTATGAAATAAACTTGCATTTAAGCATTTTAAAACAATTGTAAACATTACTTTAACCAGTTTTAAAAAATGATTAGATTCACTGTCAGCATGTTATTTCTTGTAAAATAAATGAGAAAACAAACAATTTTATTTGAGTCAGTTTTTTTAAAAAATGTAAATAAGAAGCATTGGAAGTTGGGAATATTTCACAAAGTTGATTGAGCATAATTCTCACTAGGACAGTTGGAATATTTTGATTTAAGCATTAAAGAAACTATTTCATATTTAAATATAAAAACCATGTTTAGTCATGCAGTATATAGTTTACACTTGACAAAATGTAAACCTTATCTCTATTCAGGGTCAATCCAAAGGTCAAAAAGTAATGAAAAAATATTTCTCTTTATGTATCAAACATGCAGGTATTATTGCAATAAATTCACTGTATTCATTTTTTGTCCTCTTCTTATGTATGAATAGCTCTGATTTAGGCAATCAAAGCAAATGAGTTATGTCAAATGATGAAGGTATACACAAGAAATTAACATGGACAGAGAATTTTGAGTTTCCCTCAAATATGGCTGCCAAGTGGTGTGAAATAAGAACAAAATGTGGATTCATCTATTAGGATTGAAACTTGTACATATTATGAATGATGGGTACTATGACATTTAGAATGACATTACATTGATTCAATTATATGAACAGTTCTTAATCCATACAGTCAAAATGGAGGAAAAAATTTTCTTTATTAGGCATAAAGTAACAAACACTCACCCAATGCATCAAAATTTTACTTTTTGAAGAAAAGGAACCTTACTTACTTTGTTGAGTTGACATTCATATTTTTGTGTTTGACAGGTAGAGCAATGGTTTCTAACTATTATAGTGAGCACTTTTTATTTAAGAGTCATCAGATTGTTCTAATATTTTGGTTAAGATATCTGCATGACATCAATTGATTTGTTCATACAAGGGGATGAAAGCTTTTTCAGGTTTCCTCTTTACTCAGATTAAATAGTGTTCAACTAATAAATTTAAGTTTACTTAAAAATTTTTATTGTAATCAATAAGTGTCCTCCTTGAATGTGAAAGTCTGAAATACTGTATAGCTGTGCTTTGTAATGTTAATTTTGTTCCATGTCTTACCGTGGTAGGAGAGGCAGAGATTGACCAATCAAAATCTGACCAATTAAAATCTAACAAATGAAATTCTGACCATGCGGTGCGTTACTCTGCCTTTTCTCCCATCTACATCCTTGGAGGACGGACGTTGTTTCAAAGTTTGTTATTTATTTTATCAAGATTTTGGTGAGTAAATTTATTTCATTATGTCTTCTATGAGTAAAACTTCAGTTGTCATTCTTGGACACTCAATTGTGCGTCGTTTTCATGAATTCTTGAAAGATGGTGACATTAGATATTCTGCGAGCCTTGGTCTGGGAGAAACGCATTCCGTTCTGTACAGGGGTGTGGGTGGAAGAAAGGTTCGTGATGTAATATCTAAGGATATGGAGAGCGTATTTGCTTTAGGTCCAGATGTAGTTGTTCTAATGATTGGGGAGAACGATATTAGTCCTAGTACCGACGCTACCTTGTTAGCTGCAGAAATTGAATCTGTGGTATCGGTAATGCATCGCCGCTATAAAGTTGCAAAAATAATTGTTTGTAAATTATTGCCACGATTTGGTGTTCGTTTTGGGTACAATAATATTGCAGACAAAGTAAACGCAATATTGAGAGATGCATTGCCAGCACTGGGTTACTGCGTATTTTGGGAACATGGGAATTATTTCGTTTCTCCCCGTGAAGGAGACTGCAGTCGTAAATTTGTTCATGACGGAGTTCATCTGAACAGTCAGGGGAATGTTCATTTATATAGGAGTATAAGGGGAGCTTTAATTTCAGCGAGAAAATAGATATACATCTAAGTCATAAAAGTTTGTCAACATTTTGTTACTTTTATTGTTCGTCAATTTTTCAGATAGATATTCTTTGAAATTATACAACAATTTGTTATTTTAACAGACTGAGTACGATAGGCATTTAGGATGTCTAATAATGTAAAACGGATTTATCCTTTTTCTGTGAAGAAAATTCGGTTGGAAAAAGTATCAGCAAATTGATTGTTTTGTTGTTGGTTTAATTTTTACAGTACTTTAGGCAGATACTAAGTACAAGTTTCAGGCAGTTTTTTGGTACTTGCCAAGTTTCAACCCATTTGGGTTTTTTCATTTTGGTTTCAGCTTTTACCATGCAGATGGCGATTTTTTCCATCGTTTTTCTATTTGATATCTAGGAATGTATTTTAAAGCATTCCAGATTTATCCTTTTTCTGTGAAGTAAATTCGTTGGAAGAATGTCTGCCAATTAGTTTGTTTCGGTATTAGTTGATTACTAAAATATTGTGAATTTTTACAGTACTTTAGGCAAGTCCTAAGTACAAGTTTCAGGCAGTCTTTTGTACTTGCCAAGTTTAAACCCGTTTGGGTTTTTTCATTTTAGTTTCAGCTTTTACCATGCATATGGCGATTTTTTCCATCGGTTTTTATTTGATGTCTATGAATGTATTTCAATGCATTCCAGATCGACTTATCCTTTTTCTGTGAAGGAAAATCGTTGGAAATTGTCTGCCAATTCGTTTGTTTCGGTATAAGTTGATTACTAAAATATTGTGAAATTCTACAGTACTTTAGGCAAGTCCTAAGTACAAGTTTCAGGCAGTCTTTTGTACTTGCCAAGTTTGTACCCATACGGGTCTTTTCATTTTAGTTTCAACTTTTACCCCGGCGATTTATTTTCCATCGCTTGTTTATTTGATAAGTCTGGAAGTGCATGTTGATGCCTTCCAGATTTATCCTTTTTCTGTATAAAAAGAAAACAATTTGTTGGAAAAATATCTGCCAATTTGTTTGTTTCGGTATTAGTTGATTACTAAAATATTGTGAATTTTTACAGTACTTTAGGCAAGTCCTAGGTACAAGTTTCTGGCAGTCTTTTGTACTTGACATTTAGCCGTTTTGGTTTTTAATTCATGTTAGGCCCACTTTTACCTTGATGATTTTTATATCGATTTCAACATCAAGTTGATTTACCTAATCATGTTCGATTCAATGGTCCAGATTATGGAGGAATTAAAATTAAAAAAAAAAAAAAAAAAAATCATTTTTGAAGGTACAAGTTTACTGTTTGTATTTGCTATCCCCTTTATATGATATTGAGTCTTGTACAAATAGTGGTTTTTCATTATTCATTTATTAAGGTTTTATTGTTCTGCAACTGCGCTTAGATACATTACAAGCCCTTCAAGTACCTCGTTTGTAGTAGTGATGAAAACAATTAACAACAGCCGAACAGGTTGTTATCTGTGGGAAAGGCACTACAGCCTTCTTGGGAATTTGACACGGTGCGAGGGTTGTCGGCTTCAAAGGTGGTGATTTATAACTTATGTCAACTTTTCGTTTTATGTGGCGGATAGTTCTTACTGATCAGCAGC